CGCCGCATGCATTTGGAGATCTGTCTGTTCAGATGCCTGTATGCTGTCAAGTCTGTTGAAGAATGTAGCTTCATCTCCCGTCTAACAGCCATGAGATTAAGAGTGTGATCGGAGAGTTTTTGTGTTCTTCTGCGGCGGGTCTTGCAGAACTTAGCTCCGACCGCATGGACAGTTTCCACGAGCTTGTCATTCATATCGTCCACTTCATTGCAGTCTTCTAGGCACTGAAAACGGTTTTGTAACTCGAGCTGAAAGGTTTCGGGACTTTGGAACAGAGCACGAGGGGGACGGAGCGTTGACTTCATTAGACGAGACCTCTCCAACTTAACGTTTAGATTCAGTGTGCCTCTAACCATTCGGTGATCGCTACCAGTTTTCACCCTCGCGATCACGGAGACATCACTGAACAGTTGTCGTCTGGTCGTCATAATGAAGTCAATCTCATTTTTTGTCGAACCGTCGGGGCTCGACCAGGTCCACTTCCTGTGGGGCCGCTTCTGGAAGAAAGAGTTCATCATAAAGAGTCCCTCTTTCTCCATGAAGTCGGCCAGCTGCTGGCCCCTTGGGTTCCGTTGCCCTATTCCAAATTTCCCTACTTTCAGCTCACCGTTCTCTCTTGTGCCTAGTTTTGCATTGAAGTCTCCCATTAACACCGTATATTGGGTTTTGGAGGAATGCATGGCTCTAGAGATATCCTCATACATTTCCTCCACCTCCTGATCGGGGTGTGCCGAGGTTGGTGCGTAAACCTGTATGACCTTCAGCGAATACCGTTTGGTGATTCTGAGTATAAGGTACGCAACCCTCGTCGACACACTCCCGATCTTTACAATGTTGTTAACGAGAGACTTGTGGACGATAAGTCCGACACCTCCTTGGGACAGATGGTCGCCCTCCCGGTGATAGAGCAAGTTGCCGGATTCGAGGATTACCGTGTCCTCCCCCTCTCTTCGGACTTCGGATAATCCTATAATATGTCAGCGCAACTTGTCTATCTCTTCTTCCAGCTCCACGATCTTCTCGTCAGTCCTCAGGGTGCGTACGTTGTACGTTGCCAGGTCGAGTCGTCTAATGTGGCAACCGAACCTCCACCGGAGATTCTTAGCACCCCCTGCCCCGCCGTTACCATGGTCGCCACCGTAGCCAGGAATAGCGGGGCCGCCGGGGACTGGGGGCCGTCTGTTTGTTGCTTTAGTCATTGGGGGGTATTTGCCATAGTTGCCACGCTTGGCGAGCGGGTTGGCAACCGCAGTTTTTTTATTATAATTTTGGCTATTATCAGGAAGATGCTGCTGCCCATCTTCTGCCTGTTTCCCTTTGTCGCCTTTTACGACACCCACGGGAGGATATGGGGTAGTGGATATTCTTGACCGCCACTACACGGCCATTACATAAAATATGTATGAACTAAATTATGTTATGTAATTTTCATATTTGTCTTGCAGGCGAAATGTTCGTCCAGAAGTGGTCGTTGTCGTTGAGCGGTTAGATGAGGAGACCGGCAACGAGTACTTGTTGGCGGACCAGCATGAAGTATATCACGAGAAGGTGGTGGCGAGTTCGAGTGGTGGTGCTGTGCGAGGCGTGCGGTTCCCAGCGACGGCAGCAGCAGGCGGCAACGCTCTGTAGCTTAAACTAATCTTTTTTCTCTACTTGGCTACTTTAGGAGAAGGGTAATGTGTATGCATGTATGGATGTCTATTTTTTTGGCACGTTCTGTAGCCTAAATTAATGTTTTTTCTTTACTTGGCTACTTCAGGAGAAGGGTAATGTTTTTCGAGTATGCATGTATGGATGTCTTTTTTTGGCATGCGCTGTAACTTGTTTGTTATTCGATTTACTTTAGTAATTACTAACTATTCGACAGTGACTATTTGTCACACTAATTAGTTTCATACGCGTGTATTTGAAATACTGTATGATTTTAATAATAGTATTGTTCCATTCATGCAAAGCATACACAGGGTTATTTTTCAAAGAGTAGCCAAATTTTAAACTTAAGTTCAAATACATAAATAATAACATACCATTATTGCAGTTTTCGAAAATACGAGTAAATAAGGCTAAAGTTAACTTTTATTCGAAATTATCCCAAATTGAATGTGATTTATAGGCCACAACATTTATCTCCACCTATCGACCGTTACGAATGTGCACACATTCGTATACTGTAAAATTAGTTAAAACAGTGCATTACCATGCATTTTGAATTCAAAAGAATTTTAACTTAGTACTAGACTAATCTGAATAGGTACATAACTGAATACATGAGAATAATAAACATACCTACACGATGAATAAAAACGCATGACTCCAACCTTGGTTACATTTCATTTAAGTATTTCTTCATTAGCGGGGAATCGAACTAGTTATTTGGGTTATTTAACCTGTAAATTCGGATTAAAGTGGCTACGTGGAGATAAGCACAGTGGCAAAATAGTAGGTTAAGTAGATAAGTTAGGTATTTAGACACGTGTTGTAAATTATTAGGTATTGTGGGATGGCCCGCTAGTTGCGGGCCGCGCGAATTTGTGTTCGCGCGTACATTGACCTTTATCTAGCTCAGGTCAGGTGATATCAATTCAGTCATTCCACTGCTGGTTTTATGTTTCAGTATTTTCATGATATTTTTTATGAAATTATCGTTTCATTTAGCTGTACTAACATGATGGCGCGTGAATAAAGCTAATAAAATCTTGTAAAAAGATGATTTTTTTTTTCATCAGGATCGAATTTATTTGTGACCCATGATCAAAGGTATACTTGGTGTTGTCGCCTGTCTTAGTTTTCGGGAGCGTTCCAAAAACACCCTGTATATATTAATTATCTACACCTATCATATGACGTATAACCTGTCGGAAATATCTGCGAACCTCGCTGGAATGCGCTTCCCCTCGCGCTTTCCCGCACCTCCGCCCGTTATCGTCTATCCAGTACCGTTGCCATCTCTCCATATTGCATGACGTCATCAAGCCAGGTTCGCAGATATTTCCGCCCATTATCGTCTATCCAGTAGTGTTGGGTAGGACACGACATAAAGTAGAGTTTGTAAGAGTAGCCTCTTTTTTGTACTGAGCCAGTACAATGTCCCACTTCAAATGAGGTGAGGCTAACGAGGTTTGGTATTTGGGCGAGGCGTGCTGAAGCCCGACGAAACGTTTGAAGTTACGAGTATAAATATGACATTTGACGTTATTGCCGTACAGTTACAATCTGTACTCTGATTGAAGACATTGACTATGAAACGATACATACACGATTATATTGTTTGTAATTAGGTAAATAAAAAGATAAAGAAATATATTTTAAAGAATATAATAAAAAAGCTTGCAAATAAAATTATAAATTAGAATGTAAAAATAATATTTGCGCGACTTTGTTGCCACTAAGCCGGTTCCTTCTCTCCGTAAGGACCTGGCCTGCTTTACTGAAAGTGCGCTCGGAAGGCACTGAAGTGGCAACAATACAAAGCCGTTTTAAAAATAACTTATAAAGCCTAGGATAGGCGTCCTTTTTAACGAACCACCACTTGGCAGGATCTTGGGACCTTGGCAGTAGGGGTTCCTCGAGGTATTTATCAACTTCGATAATACCCCCTGCAGTCGGATTAATATTTTTTATTATCATATCCACTTGCTCATCAAACTCATTCCATATGCTATGTTTACGCTTACGGGATGGCGACGAAGATGGCGGCTCTGATGTACATGTGCTTTGTATTTGAATTCGCCCGGCCATGGCTTTGATATTTGTACATGCTTTACTGTAAGCGTACTCATTCTCAAACCCATATTTTTTGAATCTTGGATCTAATATAGTGCTTTCAGCAAAAATATTATTCTCCTCAATGCACGAAAACCTTGTGCTAATTTCATTTAAAAGCACTTGGGTCATTCGTAAACACAGTCCGGATGTGGCGTAGATAAAAAATTTTTGGCATTTCTTTTTGAGGGCGTTTGATATAAGTATAACCTGAAATTTATAAAACACCTCATACATGAAAAAAGAATGTTAAAATTGAAAATACAAAATAAATGCGTTATCTATTACTTCACCTCTGATATTGTAACATTCTTTTCTGAACTCATCTCCTCAGTTACATCTTTGAAAAATGAAAGAATTTCTATTGCCGAATCCAAAACCTCAATGTCTTCAGAAGTCATATTTATAGTATCGGGATAATCGATAGCAATTGTGGACATAACACTGTTTTTAATTTTTAACACCCTTTCGAACATATCATACGTGGAGTTCCAGCGTGTGGAAACGTCTTGTTTTATCTTCAATAGGGGTTCATCTAGCTTCTTTTGCATATTTTTTAATCTTTCAGATGCAAGTGGACTTCTACGAAATAATTCGACAATTTGTTTAATTTTTGTAGTAATATCTTTTATTTCTTTTAATGCAGATTGGACTATAAGGTTAAGAGTATGAGCGAAACAAGGTATGTGCTTCCAATTATTAAGTCTTATAGCAGCTTTGATATTATAAGCGTTATCACTGATTGCTGCTACAATTTTGTCAGTAATTTCCCAATTATCTGTAATTCTTTTTAGTTCTAGTGCTAGGTTTTCTGAAGTATGTCTATCTGGAAACTGTATACATTCCAACAAAAAAGATTTTAATTCTGCTTGCTGATTGAAAAAATGTATTGTCACGGCTAAGTAATTATCATTGGGGGCTGATGTCCACCCATCGGTTGTAATGCACACATGTTCTGCTTGACAGAGTTCTGACTTAACCTTTTCTTTTGTTTGATTATAGACATTAGTCATCAATGCATTAGATAACGTCTTACGACTAGGTAACTGGTAGGCTGGATTTAATTCTTTAATAAAATCTTTGAGTTCAGGGGATTCAATGAGATGGAAGGCTAAGTAATTTTTTGTGAATAATTTTACCAGCATTTTGTTTAGATGTTCAGTTTTTTTAGCAGAAAGCGGTTTATAAAAGTACTGTGTTAGTTTCGTGTTAGTGGCTGGAGCTTTTTTATATAGGTTGGTGTTTTTAGTGGTGGCTGGTAAGAAATCAGATGTTTCAGGCATGACATAAGTTGAAGCAGTAGATGTGGAAGCAGTAGGCATCTCAAGTTCTGGTGCCTTCGAATCAGTGGAATGTGTTGTCAAATTATGGATTTCTGTTGCAGAAGAAGCTATATTTTCAATCGGACATTCACGTATAGCGACAAACACTTGTGGATGCTTGCTTTTTGTGTGTCTGATTAGGTTGTAAGCACCACCGCCTTTGTATGAAAATTCTTTCTGACAAAAATTGCATTTGGCTTTATCATTTTTGAGGTCTTTAAAAAACTGCCAAGCTTTTGAGGATTTTCTATCACCATCACCAGACATACTGCGCATGCAAAAAGCAAACAGAAAAAATGTCAAATAAAGTAAACATCTGAAAACCGTTATTAGCAGGGGATATTTTATTTATGTAGCCTGGTAACCCTTAAATAGGGTATCTATTTTGATTTGACATACCTACACAAATTATAAAGTTGTATGTACAAGACATAAACTTTGTTTGTTGACAATTGACATAAACCCTGCCGCTGCCGCTCGCACCGCTGAGGTGTCTTGGCCAACGGACAATCGACATTCGCTAAAATGTCTTTTACTTAAATACTTTACTAACACCTATAACTATACAAAGTTTATAGGTATCTTTTATTCAAATGTAGTCATAAACAAAAGTATCAACTCAGACGAATAAACATATTAAAACCATAACAAAATGAAAACACTAACACAAAGTAGCCATACAAGCAAAATAAATAAGAATTGAAAGTCATTCATAAATCATGAATTAATACAAAGACTTACATACCTGAATATATACCTAAATAAAAATATCTATTCACTTAAACTACACAAACGAAGTATCAAATTAAAAACTTTTGCACTGGTCACTGACTCAAGTACGTTACGATATTCAAAACACATATAAATGGAAAGAGTTCGTTGCAATGTGCGCCTCACAGTATTTATTAATATCAATGTCAGCAACATATTTCCCTCTCGCTCGAGATTCGAAACGCTGTCACGTAATGTTCATTTTAGAATGACGTACTATTCTAATTTGTAGCATGCATTTCGCTCCCTCTCTTTCCTCATAGTTTTACGCAGACGGAGAGTGAGTAAGGCGACTTCGCGACTGCCGCGACATAAAATTTGAAGTAGTACATTAAAAAATGCCGAGCCGCTCTTACATTTTGACGTCATGTCCGGGACAAATGTAACGCCTCTTGTATGTCCTACTCAACACTACTATCCAGTACCGTTGCCATCTCTCCATATTGCATGACGTCATCAAGCCAGGTTCGCAGATATTTCCGACAGGTTATAAACATGAAACACATCTATGAATAGGAGTCTCTGGTTTTTCTCACTTACTAATTATAAGACAGCAGTGCTATCTATACACTCTTATCTATGGTGCTATCCTGGTCAATCCAACCCATGACCATAGAAATATGTTATATGTATATCTAAAATGTCTCATCTTACTTGTTTTTCAGGAGCAGGATATGCAGGGGGAATTCGATAACTCCAATGAGGTTACCCTACTGGCCATGTTTGATGAACATGGACAGCAATTGGAGTGTCCAAGTCTCCCTTTAGGACCCGCACCTTCCACTGAGCCAGCACAAGTAAATCCGCCATTACCAGTGTCACCACCTTCTTCGTAAGTTTATTTTGTTATTATGTTTGTATTAAAGCTATTTCAAAAAAATGTGTAAGTAGAAGCTACCACAGTTTTTAAACTTTGTCTATATTCAATGAAAATTCTTCACTCGTATAAATTAGAGATATGAAAAAGCCTCCGTCTTGGGAAGAACAAGTTAGAAACCCAGCGAGACTTTTGGTGAATAGAATTAATTTACAATATTTTTTATAGAATAAAATTAGTATGGTAGCAATCTCCTCATACCCAAGGATTATTATCAATCACATACTCTTAAGTAGTATAATAACCTTTAGTAAACAAATTTTGCTTACTAAAAATTTAAACTGATTAATAAAGTCTTATATTTTTAATGTTAAAAGGTTGTTTATTAGCCAGTCAGATACTTTATTTAAGCCTTTTTGAACATTTTCATAAACTTCTTGCCACGTGTTTGCATGAAAAATTACATTATATTATGTCGGTATATAAATAGGCCTAAAGCAGGAGTCGATGATGCGTCAGTTTATAGCGATATCTTTGTTTAATTGTTATGTCCTACTCACGCCCCGTCACTGTAGTTAATGTTCAACGCTCTCTTTATGCACTAAGCTCCTGGTAGCTCAATATATTTAACTAATATAGAATTACTTTGAAAAATACTATTTTTAAATTAAAATAAAATGGTACAAGAAAGACGTCCAATGTCCACCGAAGCCCGAGGGGAAGAGGTTATATTTAATAGTTTATAGGAGCCGTGGTAGCTAGGATGGTTGTTGGTTAGTTTCATAGTATTAATTCTTATTTGAATAGATAGTTTTATCATTAAGGGTATTTATGTAGCAGTAATTCATTCAAATCGGATGTTTAATTTAGAATGTATCACAGGTATAAAAATGCAATACACGAACCGTTCGACGCATATATATAAGGAATAATTAGGGTTCTGCACAAATAAAATAAAACCCATGAAATCTAATGGTCATAAATTAATACGCAGGTGAAGTCGCGGGGAACAGCTAGTATTACATAAAATATGTATGAACTAAATTATGTTATGTAATTTTCATATTTGTCTTGCAGGCGAAATGTTCGTCCAGAAGTGGTCGTTGTCGTTGAGCGGTTAGATGAGGAGACCGGCAACGAGTACTTGTTGGCGGACCAGCATGAAGTATATCACGAGAAGGTGGTGGCGAGTTCGAGTGGTGGTGCTGTGCGAGGCGTGCGGTTCCCAGCGACGGCACCAGCAGGCGGCAACGCTCTGTAGCTTAAACTAATCTTTTTTCTCTACTTGGCTACTTTAGGAGAAGGGTAATGTGTATGCATGTATGGATGTCTATTTTTTTGGCACGTTCTGTAGCCTAAATTAATGTTTTTTCTTTACTTGGCTACTTCAGGAGAAGGGTAATGTTTTTCGAGTATGCATGTATGGATGTCTTTTTTTGGCATGCTCTGTAACTTGTTTGTTATTCGATTTACTTTAGTAATTACTTACTATTCGACAGTGACTATTTGTCACACTAATTGGTTTCATACGCGTGTATTTGAAATACTGTATGATTTTAATAACAGTATTGTTCCATTCATGCAAAGCATACACAGGGTTATTTTTCAAAGAGTAGCCAAATTTTAAACTTAAGTTCAAATACATAAATAATAACATACCATTATTGCAGTTTTCGAAAATACGAGTAAATAAGGCTAAAGTTAACTTTTATTCGAAATTATCCCAAATTGAATGTGATTTATAGGCCACAACATTTAACTCCACCTATCGACCGTTACGAATGTGCACACATTCGTACACTGTAAAATTAGTGGGTTGGCTATAGATATCCGGTACTTGATTTTAGTTATGTTTTCAACTTAGGAGGCTTGTCAGGGTTAAGCATGAACATTTTAAACTGTTTTTGAATGTCGGAAATGCGTTTTTAATTAATTATGACAAAAATAAATTTCAATAGAATAGAATAGAATAGAATAGAATATTTTTTTATTCAATATACATTACATGTGTAATTCTTATTGAAAGTCATTTTTTACTTTACCACTGGTTCGAAAAAACCCTCTGTCCTGGGAAGAACCAGCAAGAAACCCAGCGGGACTTTTTTTTTTAAATAAATTTTACAATAAAAATTCCGTATAACGAAACGCAAATATGACAATTTTGTATAGTGTTATGAGATTAGATGTCAAAAACAGATGCAAAAAGTGTGAATCGGAACGGTTGTTGACGGCCATGTTGTCGGCAACCGTAAATGTCAAATATAATATATTATCTATGATGTCAAATATAAATTGTCATTCCGTTTCTCTAGTAGTCACGCGAATGTTCTTTTTTGTGCTTAGTGCTGTGTTTTCCCTGTTTTTTCGACGACTTCTGCTCTGTTTTTGGACTTCTTTGATTGCCCTTACGTTTGACCTTGGCTTTGTTTCTGGTTTTGATTGGATTGCATTACTTTGGACTTTGGCTTGCTTACCGGACCTGAGAATGAGCGATTACGAACCCGTAGCGGGGCCTTCTTCGGCATCTGACGCTTTACTCAAGGAACCATCACACATCGACGAAGACTTCTCTGACGACGGCGACTATGTGAAGCGTCGACTATACGTGTCTGAGATTATGTTCATGTGGAATCTGTCGGATATTGTGCGTGAACTTGGAACGAACGAGCAATGTGTTCGATATAGTGAGGATGAAGGGCTGGTCCTAAAGGAACGAAAGTGCGGCAAACATAAAACTAATATGAAAATTTCATACTCAAGTGGCTGCAAATCGCTTGGTACTTTCATATGTGCTAAAGCATCCTGTAAGGGGAAAGCTGGAGGCAGTGGAGTTAAAATCTCACGACGACAAGGGACTTTTTTTGAAAATGTAACTCTTGATATGCCCCACATATATTACCTCATATATGCATATTCACAAGGATGGTCTAATAATCAAACAATCCATGAAGACCCATATAAACGACAGAGACAACAATGTTTAAGCCCAAATACAATATGTGATTGGTACAATTACTGCAGAGAGGTAGTTGTTATTTACTACCTCGAGAAACAGAATCAGTTTACTGGAAAGATTGTACAAATTGATGAGAGCAAATTTGGAAAACGAAAATACAATAAAGGTAAATATAAGTATGATTATGTTTACACCTTTTTTTGTCATACTAAATGTCTAATATTAATTTTATTTGTTATAGGACGTCACATCGAAGGCCACTGGGTGCTCGGTATGATAGAAGATGGGTCTGAGGATCTCAGACTAAAGGTGTGCCCGGATAATATTAGGTCTGCTGAGGTACTGGTGCCGCTTATACAGAGACATGTGGCGGCGGGTACCACAATTCATACTGATTGTTGGCGGGCATATGATTGTTTGGCAGAACACGGGTACACACATAAAAAAGTTAACCACTCAGACCCAGACAATCCATTTGTGGCTGAAGATGGGACTCATACACAACGAATTGAGTCGCAGTGGAGAGCAGTGAAGAGGTTTTTTAGAAAACAAAATTATAATAATTCTCAAAGTTTTACAGACGTGATAGTAGAGTATTTGTGGAGACTAAATGTAGAAAAGTTTAAAAAGGATCCATTCAAAGAAATTATGCGAGCAATAAAGCATGTGTATAAAATAAATTAAATAATTAAAATTACATTGTTTCATTTACCACTATCATAGCAGAGTTTAGGGAAACCTGACTTTAGATAAGATAGATCGAATTTGTACTAAAACTGACTCGGAACACCCCGACTCCACGTAGTCTTGTCTGCCCTACCCCTAGAGTGTTTTTTAAAGCCGTAGGCGCGGAGGGAAAGCAGCCCCCGCCCGCTGTAGCAAATCCGCACCTCCGCAGCTTCGGCTTATTGGTCGCCTTCGGCGACCAGCCTCAGCCGCTACGACTCGCTCGGGGGCCTGCGATTTGCTACGCAAGGGCGATGGGGCTGCATTTCCCGTAGCGCCGAAGCCGTTACAGAAGTAACTTTGTGTCAATATTCCTATGTAAAAAAAGTGAGGTTATGATTTTACAAAAGAAATTATTACTCATAAACTATACATTTCCGCAAGCGGGGAAGGGTAGGGGGGCTTCCCCTGACCCCCCCCCCCTCCCCCTCCCATCCTCGTAGGCGAGGACTTAATTATAGAGATCAAAAATTATAATGTTTATAATTATAGTGTTATTTGGCACAAAATTATTCTCATTAAATTGCAAACAAGATGAAAAAGCTTTTTAACATAAAATTATTTCAAAAGGACTTCTCCAAAAAGCACCTTAATGAAAAACAATACTTAAATATAATTAAGAATCACTGATAAGTCAACTTTTAGAATCAGTGTTACCTGGAAGATTATACCAACTTATTCTGTTTCAAAAACTAGCTTACATTTTATCACATTCACTTATCGTATCTATTATCATTTAATTATTCCTACAGGGCTTAGCTTTCCATTTCCTCCCATCGAGTTGCGGGTTGATACGTATTTTTACAGAAAAGTTACACTATTTTAAGCACACACACAAAGTTAGAACATGCGGAAACGCGAAATTTTTGAGAGAAAAGTTGTTGAAAGTCAATTATTCTTGCATTGTTTAAATCTAATCCTACCATAAAACTGACGCCATTTTGTAATGTCATTGTCGTCAGTAGGGATGTCGATTCTTTCCGAAAAGGGTCGATTTTTAAATAGATTCAAATTGTAAACTGATGTATCGATTCATAAAAAATCGATTTCTAAAATATCTATATTTTTAATGTTTCTATTTATAATGTAAATATAAACCCATTTTATGAAAAACAAGAAAGATACCATGATAAATGATCTCTTATTGAAATTTGTTTTATTTAACAGTACCTATTAGGGCAGATAACAAATAAAATAGGTTAGGTTCAACTTATGTCAAAGAACCGAATTGATTGACCCTGACTCCACCTGGTACGAGTCTGTCCTACCCCTAGAGTGGTTTTATAGAGCCGGAGGCGCGTAGGGGGAGCAGCCTCCGCCTGCTGTAACAAATCGTAGGCATCGGATGAACCGGAGCGGCTGAGGCTGGTCGCCGAAGGCGACCAACAAGCCGAAGCTGCGAAGGCGAGGAGGGATGCCTGCGATTTGTTACGCTAAGGCGTAGAGGCTGCTCTTCCCGCAACGCCGGAGACGTAGCAGTCTCAAAATAGGTACAGAAATCCTTCTGAATCAGTCCCCCTATATTTTATGATGAAGGGGATTTTTTTCTCATAAAATGGATTTATATTTACATTATAAATGCAAACATGAAAAAATATAGATATTTTAGAAATCGATTTTTCGGGAATCGATATATCAGCTTACAATTCGAATCTATTTAAAAAATCGATATTTTTCGGGAAGAATCGACATCCCTACTGACAATAACAATAAAAAAATGGCGTCAGTTTTATTGTAGGATTAGACATAAAGAATGTAAGAATAATTGATTTTCAATAACTTTTTTCTCAAAACTTACGCGCTTCCGCATATTGTAACTTTGTGTATGTGCTCTTAATAGTGTAACTTTTCTGTAAAAATATGTATCAACCCGCAACTCGATGGGAGTAAATGGAAAGTCTTTCCAATGTGTTTAATTTTCTGTGCCTTATTCCTCGTTTGCTAAGTTTTCAACATTATTATTAACACACAAATTTTCCCAAAAAAGTCTGCAATTAGCAGGCATTAATGGACACAGATTTTGAATTATGTTTTTCCTTTTGTCCGTAATGCCTCTTTCAGAAAATCTAGTACAAGGTTAAGGTATTTCTTTTAATTTGAGGATTTTCACTGGTAAAAAAACTTTACTGGACATATTCTCTTTGTGGCAAATTTTATACAGAAGCACAGAAGAACACATTGGGCATACAAAATTCACTCCATAAAATCATTTAAATAAATAGCGACTCTTGCTATGAGATGAGAAAACACCAGCTTCCAAATAAAAAAATAAAAAAGAATCATCAAAATCTGTCCTCCTAAAAAACAGTTCTAAGGTAACTTTCAAAAAGTTACCTTAGAAGTTGGTTGAAAAAAGAAATATCTGACATACTGCTCTCTCGGTTACCACGGCGGGTATAGGTTTCAGTATATACACTCTTATCTATGGGCATAGGCTATACCCATGAAGTTATAGATATAACTTCATGGCTATACCCGGGTATAGGGTATATATAAATGATATATCTAATAATTGTCTGTCTGATAACCATCAGCAAGCTTACTCTTGAATCCAATAACAATTTCGATCCAATGTCAATTTCAGTTATTAATATTGCTGTTTTCCAAATAATACAAGAACAACTTAACTTTAATACTTTTTTCGCGTGTGGGTAGGTGTAATAAGTAGATTGCTTTAGTAAAGTCTCCCAATTTAATTAAATTTTTAATATATAAAACATTACAATAGTGTTGTTACTATATGGGAAACTAATGTACTAACCATTATACCTGCCAGGCAGTAAAATCCTTGCTGTTTACAAACTTATTTAGTCAATAAAAATCAGTCTCACAATTTTCCTGCATTATCACTACACAAGATTTTTTCAAAATGGATGCCATTCAAGAGTCAATAACACAACTCCAGAAGATGTTTACTCAGCGCATGGATATCTATCAAAGTGAGCTTCATGCTGCAGCACCTTCAGCCTCCACTGCCAATTTGACATCCAAGTTCTCCTCATTCAGATTATTTATCATGACAGCCCTACGCAATCTTCAAGACCAGGTAGGCCTGTTGATGCACCAGGTGGATAATATAGAGATGCGGAGCAGGCGGAAGATTCTATTATTTCATGGGCTTCCGGAGGAAAAGAACGAGGACACTGTACAGGTAATAGTGAAGACTTTTGTTGACCGTTTCAAGTTGTCTGGTTTCTCGCCCAAAGATATATCTCGCTGCCTTCGCATGGGCCATACTTCTTCTTCTGACAAACCAAGACCAATCTTGATTAAGTTGTGTGAGTTAGAGGTGAAGAACAAGATCTGGCAAGCTAAGACGTGTTTGAAGGGGACTGGTATCACTTTGTCGGAATTTTTAACTAAGACTCGACATGAAGCCTTTATGGCAGCTCGACGGAAATATGGAATATCGAATTGCTGGACCCGTGAAGGCTCTGTTTTTGTACTGGGTAGCGGTGGCGTTCGACATCGCATTAGCTCTGTGATCGAACTCGATAAAATCGTTGAGCCTCCTGTGTCGAAGTCGAAGACAACGACCGCGGTCAGGGAACCGGCTGGAGCTTCCAAAAGTCGACGTACTGGCACCGCAGGCAAGAGATAGTGTCTTCGCGTTAACTTAGTGTTTAATTACTACAATTTATTTGTATTTTTGTGCAGTCTCCATTTGCATAGTGTTGCATCCCTTCAAATTTGTGCTTTAACTGTAACATCGTAGTTCGTAGTTTTCTCTGATATTATTATAGTTTACCTTCATAATTTTGTTTATTAAGTGACAGAATGATGACATTAGCGATTAAATAAATCATAATGACAGCTAGTAATATCTGTCATGCTGTCATTTGATTGCACATACTACCAGGCTTTTTGCCAGACAGGATCCATAAATAATATTTGTCTGTTTTATTATTGACGGTAAGACTGTCCTTTTTCTATATTTTTATTATATTAATTAGTCTTAAATAAGTTATGTAATTATAAAATTCTACTGATGCCACTGCCGGCAGGTATGAAAGAAATGTTTAGTTTAGTGCATAATTGTTGGCAATTTAATTTTAATTTTAATTTAATTACTGTTTCATAATATTTCATAACATATTATTATTTATTTTGTAGGTATTATACCCAGACTTATATAATATTTATTTTATTATACATTATACAAGTATATATTTAATCTTTATTGTTTTTGTTGTAGCTTAATTTCTGTTATAGTTTTGATTAGCATGTGTGATATTTTGGAATTTGATGATAGTTACTTTTCTTGCTCTTCTTCTGGTTCTTCCGATAAGACCTATAAAAGCGCCTTAAGCGATGATTCCACTCATTTAGATGATCAACTAGTAGCCGTATTCTGTAATTATAGTAAAAATCTTAATATAGTCCATATTAACGCTCAAAGCATTCATGCTCATTACGCTGACCTTTTATCAACCTTTGATTCTAAATATGTTGATGCCATACTTGTTTCTGAAACTTTTCTAAAACCTGCACTTCCGTCGGTGCAGTATTGTCTCCCTGGTTTTCAACTTATACGCAATGACAGGGTCGGCAAAGGTTATGGTGGAGTGGCAATCTATTTGAGAGCTGACATTCCCTATAAAATAGTTGATCATTCACCCAATATTTACTCAAATTTTGCTGAACATTTATTTATTGAAATTACTATTAATCATTCTAGGACTTTGCTTGGGGTCTATTATCCCCCCTCTCGCAATATAAATTATTTTTTTTCTCTGGAAGAAAAACTTGTGAATCTTACTCCGCTTTATGATAATACCATTATTTTAGGTGACTTTAACACATGCCTGTTAAAGAATGATTTTCGTAGCAAAAAATTGCTCTCCCTGGTATCATCTTTTAATTTACATATTCTTCCTCTTTCTGCTACTCACCATTCGCCTAATAGTACCCCTTCTCTTTTAGACCTTATTCTTGTATCTGATGCT